GATATGTTAAATCTAGTCCTGGTAATGGTTTATTCTATAAAGCTAGTTCAACACCAAAACTCACTGCCTTTAGCGACTCTGATTAGGCTGGTTGTCCTGATACAAGGCGATCTATAACAAGTTATGCAATTTACCTAGGAGATTCCTTGATCAACTGGAGATCGAAGAAGCAGGTGACTGTGTCCAGATCCTCTTCAGAAGTAGAGTATCGAGCTCTTGCTGTTACAACTTGTGAGCTTCAATGGTTGAGCTATATATTGTCAGATCTTGGTCATAATTTATCTGCACCCATCAGTCTCTTTTGTGATAATCAATCAGCAATTTATCTCACAGCTAACCCTGCCTTTCATGAGCGATCGAAGCATATAGAGATAGATTGCCATTTTATTCGAGAAAAAGTTAATTCTGGCCTTGTGCCTTTCATGAGCGATCGAAGCATATAGAGATAGATTTCATTTTTTAATTCGAGAAACAAGTTTAATTCTGGCCTGTTTTAATCTTATGCCTATTTCTACCAGAGCTGCAGCTTGCTGACTTGTATACCATCCCTTTCCCCTTCTCATTTAAGTTTCTCAATGTCCAACTGGGCAATGTCTGACATCGCATTCGGCCCCAGCTTCACGGGGGGGGGTAACAGAGGGTTTGAAGATGTTTGATGGTTTTGAGAAGGACAGTCGTTAGGGGGGGGGGGGGTAACAGAGGTTTGAAGATGTTGATGGTTTGAAGAAGGAAGTCGTTGTTAGTAACGGCTAGTATTAGCCAACGACACCGTTTCATTATAAAAGAAAGAAAGAGATCAAAAGAAGAAAAACGGTGTCGCACAGTTAATGAACGCAGGTGACAAAACCCATGCAGTATACCTTCTTCTTGCTGATAACAAAAACAGTTGAGGAGTTCCAAATTTGTTACAGAAAATAAAGAGAGAGAAAGTTGAGTTGTAATAGATTTTAAAAGTTAAAATTGATGTGTCATTGGTATCCGTAAAAGGTGCAAAAATAACTGTATAAAGCATCTGGTGTAGTTAGTTTTTTATAGAATCTTCTTCTCTTCTTTTCAGTATTGTAATATTCCTCTGTTTTTGTTCCTCTCTTGTATTTGTTGTTCTCTCCATCTTCTTATTCTATAAGATGAATTCAGTCAATTTTTCAGATGATGCTTGAGATATGTATGTATATGTCGATTTTTGACAAACGGAAAAAAATATGGTTTTTAATATCATTAAAATATTTTTTTGCCTCTAATTATATTTTGCGACCAACTAGCGACCGAACTGCAATGAAATTATAATCGTTAAATTTAAATTTGCGACAGATCACCAATCAATCAATTTCAGCATTTGCGATCGATTTGCAACCATGTTTGATAATTGCAACCGACACTTTTTGCGACCAATTTGAGATTGATTAGTCGATTGCTAATTAGCGACCGATATTTATAAGTTTGTGACCGATTAGTCGGTCGTTAATTTGCGACCACTTAGACAATCGGTCGCAAAATTATTTGCGACGAGCACTTTTACGACCATTCATTTCTGTCTCAAATCAGTCGCTACATCCATTTAGCGACTGATTTCTTATATTTAGCGACCGATTGTTGTTCGTAATTTACCAATTTTTTTGTAGTGTAATTAGCATAGTTAACATTACATAGTTTTAGTTAAGGATTGATTTAAACTTACTAAATCAAAACTACGTTGTTTTGATGGTAAAATGGTTATTATTATTATTATTATTATTATTATTATTATTATTATAGTAGCTAGTAATTAGAAAAGCTATAATTATACTTCAGTGACTTGAAATATCTTGATATTGATTAATTACATATTCAAATTAAGGTATTGAATCTCAATTCCTAAACTTATGGCCTTATTTTTAGATTCTCATCATTTTAGTGGATATATAAAGTCTTCTAGTGATTAAAGGAAAGCATGTAAAATCTAATTACAATACTAAAAGCTAAACCGCTAGACAACTAAAGAAATCAAGATTTTTGTGATTCAGACCGAATCAAACTCTAATCGGACCAAACTAGACTATAAATAGTTTAAGAGGAGAGAGAAAATCTCATTTTCTTCTTTCTCTCCTCTTTTATTTATGTCAAGCGAAAGAGGTTTACCGTCATTCATTCTCTAATCGAACTTTGGCCATCGCATAACGAGAATAAGTTTGCAAAATACTCCTCTGGTTACAATAAGTATATTTTTTATCATCGTTTGGTTGACCAAGTTCTCATTTTTGCCGAATACAAAATTCAATTTTTATTGTTTTTGAATTTTCTGTTGGTTTTGTAAACTCGTTATAATTCTTGTTGAGATAACCTTGAATTCATAATTCTCTATAAAGTAAACTTAATTTTGTGTTGACTTAAGGAGTTTGTGAAGGATTATATGAGTTAAAATTTGATTTTGAGGTTGGGGCTTTTGATAAAATCGATAAAATTCATATAAATTGACAGTACAATTGAGGTGCTCATGAAATTCTCATCATTTTGATATATAGT